GCAGGCGCAGGAAAACCAGGAAGGAGTCCAGGGCTTCCGGACCAAACATGACAAGTTCTCAGCAGGGAAGGCAGCGAGGCAGCTGGGGGGGTTTCTAAAGGCCGAGACGCCGCCCTGCCCTGCTGGGTCCCATCCAACGCAAGGCCGCCCGCCCGCCAAGGGCTCCCCGCGCTCACGCTGCTGCAGGCGGCAGGCCAGTGGATCTCGTTGTAGGGGCTGATGAGCGTGTGCTGGGTCTGCAGCGCGTAGGGGAAGGAGGTCACGTGGAGGGTGACGATGTTGGGCGCCTCCTTCACCTCCCTGCGGTTCAGCAGTCTGTCCACCAGCCCCGCACACGGGTCGCTTTGGGAATAGAGGTCATGAACCGCGCTGCTGCGGGGAAGGGAAGAAACAGTGAGCGCGGGCTCACAGCGCCAGGGACCGTCCTGAGCAGCCGCCCGAGGTCGCCCCCGAGGGAAGTGTGTGGCCCCGCTGGGGTGCGAACTCTTGGGGCCCCCAGCTCCTGGTTTGTCCCAAGTCGTCTGGAGGGGGACAGCAGTTTTAGAGAACTGCTTGTGAGCGGCCCCGGCCGTTTCTCCTCCAGAGCAGGGGTTCTCCAGGAATGTTCACGGAATCACCTTTTCTCCTTAGGCCCGATTTGTATACCTGTCTCTGTAAGTTCCTTTCCAGAAGGTCCTACAGATCTCAGCGTGACCCCAAGAGCATAGCAAATGGTAAGTTCTATACTAGAATAAACAGCCTAGGGGTCTTGCCCGCCCCAGGAGTTAAGTCTCAGCACTATCACTGCTGAGGCCTGAGTTCCATCCAGGCAGGGAGTGACCGCAGGGCGCGGCAGACCCCTCCTGTCTCCCTGCTCTTCCCCTCAGCAGAGCGGATCCGCCTGTTCTGCTCCCCGCTGTCTCTGGTGAGTCCTCTCACCCCTACACCTCTGATCTATACCCAGTTCTTCTATAAGTAAACAAAGAATAAGTAAACATCTTTAAAAAAAATGAATAATAGTAACAGCGTGTCTCAGTAAATAGAAAGTATTAGAAAACAAAAAATAAGTAAGTTAATGAGTTAGAAGGCCTCGGGACAGCCCTGCTCGGCTCTTCTCTGGGAGTAACAGCCTCAGCACTCTTCTCTGCAAATCAGGGCCTAGAACAATCTATGCTTGACCTTTTGGTGACGGGAGCTACCAGGAAAACCTCAGTCCCAAGTGGCTGTTCACAGTATAGCGTGTTAATAGATTAGGATGCCCAGAGCCCCTGCCCAGCCCTCACACTTAGGGTGTCCAGGTCCCCCCAGCCTCACACTAAGGGTGTCCAGGTCCCCCAGCCCTCACACTAAGGGTGTCCAGGTCCCCCAGCCCT